AAAAGATAACGGCATGATCAATGGAGGACATGTTTGTTCATAATGTTTACAAGTTGTTATTGCAACTGATGAAAACAACATTAAACTCTTGAATCCCCGTGCTATCATCACTGTGATAACAATATCAAGATCAAAAACTTGGGGTTCGGTGGGAGAAACAACTCGATAGGACCAACCTCCAAACTCCAGCAATCCAAAAAACTAGGAGAATCAAAGCTTCAGTGTAGTGGAGACACCTTAATCAAGGACAAAAGCTAGTAAATGAATGATAAAGATCAATCATGGTAAGTGACTCAAAGATATAAGACAAGTAGCTTTGAAACTAATTTGTTCCTAGATCGTTTAGGAATAAAAGAAATTAAGGTGAGAAAACAAAAGACTGGAAATAGACGAGGAAATTCCTCCAAATCCTCTGCTGAAACAACAGGATGACCCTCAAAGAAAAAAACCTAGGCCTAGAATCATGAGCCTCTAACTCGATTGAAAGAAAATATCTAAGCCCTTAAAAGCTACTCTGTACGTTTATTTCAAAAAAAAAAAGCTCTTCTGCATGTTGCCTACCAAATGATTCACATGGTAGCCAAGGGGATAAATGATGTAAGTATTTTCTTGTGCTTATCCTTCTAGATACCATGACATGACCGAATCTCTTCAGCATCAGAAATTGAAGGCAACACCAAGGAACTTAAGAGTAGTGCACGAAAGGCAATATGAAAAGGGACAATGCAACCAAAGATGCTCCAGGATTTTTGAAAATATTAAAACAAATTTCAAGATTATTATGTTAGTTATTAGTTAATAGAATAATTTAAGGTTTGTTGTCGTAGTTTTCATGCATATGCTGGCCCATACAATGCATTAGTAAGCACATAAGTACTAAACAAAGTCATTACCTGCAACCTTACTAAGGGTATCTCAAACTGTGATAGAAGGATCTTTCCCATAACTAACTCGTCATATCCTATTCAACAACCCTACCCCAAAATGTCAAACTCAGCCTTAATGAACTATGGGAGCAAGATCTAAGTACACACATCATATAAATATTTGACATATAGAATAAATAAATGTTCTTATTTCTTAAGAAAACAATTGATTATTGCATACCATGTTATTAGCAACAACAATGGTTTGTGAAAGCCTAAATGAAAACTGACTGAAAGTTGATGCTGCCCTCTGCAAAAGTTAAGCCTATGAACATCAACCATCTGAACTGTATGATAATGATTTCTAGCTTATAGGAAAAATGTCATTAAATAGAACCTGACCATAGTGTACTAGAAGTTAGAAACAATGAGGAAAAAAAAAATTACCAGTGAAAAGGGTTACCTGTTCCCTGGGGCCAGCTGACATCTCGCTCCAGGACAGAGAGAGAGCATTCATACAAACCTACAAAATCATCTTGATAATTGACTAGCGAACACAAACAAGTGTTAGATTTAAATATTTATTTTTGTAAAATTCTAGTATAGATGCATTGAATATAGTGGTGAAAAACATAACATCTCAATAATTTTTAAAAGGTTTTACAGAATCCCTAGTTGACTTCTATTTGTGTTCAGTAAAATGAAAAAACTGTAATAGTACAAAAGAAATATAAGATAAGATAAAACAATATTTGGTTCATACATTGGGCTGATAACATACATTATATATTACCTATGATAACCCTTGAACTGGAAAACCGAAAAGAAAACCCTTAAAATTGGACATTCCAAAGTACTTCTATTTATTATCCATGTGTAGTTTTTATTTTTTAACAAGGACTAAAGAGAAAGTATTGAATATAATAATACACTAAAATTAGTATTATTTTATCTTTTAATCATATAAACAAATTGAATTACATTAAGTTAAATTATTGAAGTTAATTATTATGCAATCAATACCAACACTTGTGAGAGATGCGATTGGAATTAAATAGAATTGTACATAAGCTAATATGCAAGGATTATTTTCTAGGCTAGAAAATGTGAGTTCACAATAACCTGGGAATAATTTTGTTCTACCAAAATAAAAAATAAAAAAAAGAGTAAATTTGTTCCTTAATTTTTGCCATGAAACCTAGAGCAAAACTCTTCTGTTATGTCAAGTTTTCTAATGCAACAGTATGAAATGCTATTTAATTTTAGAGAATTTCCTTTGAATGGAAACTTTTAAAGGACAGCACCCCCCCACCCCCCCCCTAGGTGCTCTGGTTAATGAAGTGAATTGTCTGTTGGTACAGTATATGCCATTGTTTTTATGAATCTCAACCCAGAGCATTAAGAACCCTGGTACCGTCAGCATCCCATTAGCAACTTGACAGTTTTATCCGGCATCAACCAAAATAGAAGTAAAACTACTCCTTAATTTTTGCCATGAAACCTAGTATTGAACTCTTCTGTTATGTCCAGTTCTCTAATTCAGCAGTACGTAATGCTATTTAATCGTACAGACTTTCTTTTGAATGGCAACTTTTAAATGACAGGAACCCCTAGGTGCTCTGGTTAATGAAGTTCATTCTCTGTTGCTACAGCACATGCCACTTTTTTTATGAATCTCAACCCAGAGCATTAAGAACCGCTGTTGCTGTCAGTCTCCCATTAGCAAACTTTCTAGTGCACCACTTAACTTCTAAATCTTCACTTTAATTAATAACCAAGTAGTTATCACAATTACCAACTTGATAGTTTTATCTGTCATCAGGTTCACTCCACCAAGCTTTCTGAGAGCAGATTTTGCACTTCTGAAGTGAATTCTCTGTGGCGTGGGCCGAAAACTACTGGCCTGAAAGAATATTAGATCACATTGAAAATACTACAGAAACTAAAATCATAAAAATAAGGGAGCAAGATAGAAAGAGGTTACAAAAAATAATAACTTGGAAGAATTTCAATTTTCCTAGACAAGACTTCATTAGAGGTTCCAAAAGAATTTAATAACTGAAAAGCAAATATGCAATAATCGAAAAATTGATAGTGCAACACAGAAATACTGAGTACTGAGTAAAAATAAATAACAAAAACATGCACAAACAGAAATATAAAAGGGTGTGCTGCACACATAACGACTTCAAACTGTGTTGAATTATTGAACATTTAACAGATACCCAGAGGAAAAAACAAGGCCAAACAAGTGAGGCTTCAATGAAGTCACAGTAAACAAAATGTCCAAAAAATGTCTTCAGAGAAAAATTAGTTACTTTCCAGAAAATAGAAAAAATATATCTTTACAGTGACTTGTGAGATGCAAAAGAACACACAACATCCAGCAAGCATATGGAAACACAGATTTCAAGCAAGTCATGAAAAGAATTTCACTACCCATTCTTTTTTATTTGCCTGGCACCCCATTGGTGCCCTCTTTATTGGATTATATTTTTGCTCTCAAAAGGAATTTTAAAAATCAATGATTTTTATAGAAAAAAGTATTTTTAGAAAGAGAAAGAAAGGTCATTGCATGACAAGAAGTAATCTCAATAATGAATAAATAATAAGAAAGCAATTCCAAGATACCTGATGATGGGATGACTCATAGGACTGAATGGCCTGTTCAAATGTACAAGATACAGCATCATCCCATGCTAGTGTTGCCGCCAAAATAGAGACACTCTCATGCTCATGTAACTCAATCTGTTGAATTTCCAATTATCCAAAAGCAAATACATGTAATAATACGACAACTAAACCTAAAGAGAAGACAGATACCAGGAAGAATCACACAGCCACTGAACCTCGCTTATTTTGGATATAACAATAAGCATGAAGCTAAAGTCACGGTGCTAGAAACATGTGAAAGAGTGCAAGTTCACCTGAGGAATGAAAAAGTAAAAAGAACCAGCCTCGTGCTTCATAGTTATAGAAGACTCTGTTGCAAAATTAATATCCATAAAACCATAAGCTCTTATAAGGGCCGAATCATTTGAAAGATATCTGCAGAAATTACATGAGAATTCTTAGGTCATTCTTATAAGCTCGAGTACAATGTCAAAGGAAACAGCAAATCTTTTACACTACTCAGCACGAACTTTTTATATTGACCCTAAGTCCATTCAGCATTAGAATCTATGGCAAACTAAAATTAAAATCTCCAAAATCTCGGATCAATTTCAGTACATCACAGTTTCCAAGATAAAGTTTAATTTTATCAGAGCAAGAGGAGCTTGCTATGGTACAATCTGAGGACGTTTTTTAAGAAAAGAAGAACTTTATAGAATGGAAAGAGAAGATATAAAAGAGAAGGAAATGATAAGATATCCTCATGAGAAAACAACAGAAAATCAAAAGATGGCAAAATGTCATAAGAAGAAACGAAGAACCAATCGCTTTGAGAAGTAAGACATGCTCCTAAGCTAATGTGGGCTTTCACCAAAAGAGATGTGAAGAAGATCATCCTTACTAAACCATGTGAAACAGTTGAAACCGATGCTTAAAAACTTTAGCATTCTGTTCCAACCAAAAGGATCTGGAAACCAAAGTACCTTAAGCTCCTCGGTCCTCCCTTTCCCACACAGGGAAGTAGAGACAATAATCTCAAGAAACTTCTAGTTGTAAATCTGTTAGGATTGCTTTCCACAAAATGTTGCATAAATAATTTGATTAAATCCATCACTATAATGTATCACCACAGACAACCTAGGTTATACGGTAACCTCAATTCAAAAAGCAATAAGACATTGAAACAAGAACTTGAAAACAGCATCAAATTGGCATTTTTGGCATTATCCATTTGTTACCCTCCACCAATACCCATTCTTCACTTTCATTGATTGGGCAAATCATCTATCCTTCTCAATCTGTGTTGCACCTTAGTGTTGACTTTTAGGTATCCGAATTCTTGTAAAAATACAATTCCCATATAGATTGGTATCTTCAGAGAAAACTCCCTATAAAGCATAATGATAGCCGACTTCCATAATTGGAAGATCTTTTCCTTTTATAGGATTTATTTGTATTTACCTTTCCACTAAAAGGTTCTCTAATTTTCAGCTACATATATTCAGTTATTGTAAATTAAATATTATAAATAAAAATTCAATAAATAAAAATTTTAATTAAAAATTTTTATGATCCAACCATTCATGAACACAAACTACACTTTTCTTGGGACACTTCAAGCTGTAACTTGATTTCACTGATAAAATTTCAGTGGTAAAATTAGCACTTTCAGTGAAAATTCCAATTGGATTGACTAGCTCCCTCGAGAGTATTCAAATGGATTTTTAGTGACGTTGAGAGAAAAATCACAATTCTACCTTCTAACCAAGTTCTCTTCTCTAGAGGCATAAGAAGATGAGCGCACAAAGGAAATTGCAACTCCGATTCCAAAAACTCCACGGATCCTGTTTGAATAAAGTGATTTACAAGTTGGGTTCTCTGTTTCCTTAGAAAGAAAAAATAGAGGAAACACATCTGATGACTCTGGTTGACAGCAAAACCAATTCAACGCTTTTGCACTTGGAGGCACTGCAACCTGAAAATTTAAATTAGCATTTAATAATTCATGCAAACATTAGCAAAATTGTTCTCTTCCCAATTCATCTGAAATAGATGTTTTTTAAATGCACAACATTGACCATACATGGACGTCATTCAGTTTCATGAATGGAAATGAAGGATTTATTTGGTGCGATTATTGCTGTGAGCCATAAAAGATGCATTATTATATTATAAAAGTAATAATAAAATGATAAAATAATAAAAAATTGCATAATAATAAAAAATTAATTATTATAATTATTTAAATTAAATATTATTTTTTACAAACTTTAATAATTTATCATAAACATAAAATTAATATTTTATTTTATTTTTAAATATCAATTATTAACTTATTAATAAAAAATTAATAATATTTTCATCAGAAATATTATTTGCCTCCTGGATCACAAATTAAAAAAAAAAAATTATCAAGAAACAAACATTTATCAAAAATTAAAACTGATTTTTACCTGGAAAGAAAAAATAAAACTATGCCAAAAGGAGATATTTTGCAAGGAGAAAGTAAAAGGAAAATCAACAGGTCAACTCTTTATACATAATGAGGCGCACCTGAAATCTTATAACACCATGAGAAGAAGATGGAGGATTGAGCTTCAACTCCTCCAAAGCTTCCTTGATGCTCTCAAGCCCGCGTTCAAGCGTCAATGCCGCAGGCAAGGTACGCGTAACATTGGTTTCCACAACCAGCTCGCCGTCCTCCATATTCCCCAATTCACCCATATCCACCATTGGCCCATCAAATCTAATTCCTTTAACAACCTAACAACACAAAAAGAAATTTTAAAAAAATAATAAGTCAATAAATATAAAAAACAGAGGCACTAAGAGAAAACGAAGAAGACAAAGATAATAAAAAACCTTCCAATTGAAGTTTCGAGGGGAACCAAGAAGAGAAACGCGAAGGATGTTAAGAAAAGGAGTTGGCACCTTTTTAGGGCTCAGTTGGTTCCGAAGGTGAAATTTTGGGATTAGAGATGGAGAAGAGAGGGGATTCGTGGGAAATAAATGAGAGTTCATCGGGTGTAGAAAATGAAGGTTTTTATAGTGGAAGTTTAGAGTGTCAAGATCATTGAAGAGAAATGGCCGGGCTGCCGGCGGTGGTTGTTCTTTTCGGCTTTTCAAATTTTCAGATTTCAAGTTGAGGCCTGGAGGAGAACGGATAAGAAAAAGGAAAGTGAAAGAAGGAAGTGGGTTACGTTTTCTTCTTCTTCTGCAGGTGGCAGTGAGCAGATGACGCAGGAAGCGGAAGATGGCGTGTGAGATGAAGTCAGCGTGAAGAAAAGAAGAACAATTTGATTTGGGTTACAGTTGGTGAATGATTTCAGCTATAAATGGAGCCGAAGCCAAGTCGAAAGTAGCACGATTTTTTGAGAGAGAAATAGAGAGAAGAGACCGTTGAGACCGTTTTAGAGGGGAACGGATAAGAGAAGAGGAGAAAGTCTCTTTGTCTGTCAGCTTTGAGGTTACCAAATTAAAGCATTAATATAACGCTCTTCTACTTTTAATTAGCCTAAGGTTATCTCTTATATTTGTTATATATATATATATATATATATTAGCTATAAATAACTTCTTTTAATTTGTCTAAATAATTTCATTTTCATATTTTAAAATAAAATATGTAGGTAAATAATGTCATTTGCCCACCTATAAAAATTATCTATGAATATCATTTGAAAAAAATTTATTAAACACATTAATTATGAAGGTGGGCCTACCTATCCCATATTTAGGGGTATGTAGAACCAAATAGATGAAAAAAATAAACTCATATTAAATCATCTAAGAATACGATGAACTGAAATATTTTAAAAAATCTGATTATAATAAAATTTAACAGTTTCATAATTGAAGTATTGATATTAACAATTTTATAATATAAATATTAATAAATCACCACACAAATTAAAATATTAATAATTAATTCAATCACAAAACACGAAAATACAATAAAAATATATATCAATTGAGTTAAAATAATAAAATGTACAAACACAAAACAAACTACATTAATCAACAAGTTTCATAACTCATGTATGGTTCCCTCTAGTGCCAAAACAACTTCCACGATGTCCCCCAATCATCTAGTAATATCCTCAATAGCCAATCTTCACAATATAACAATGTATTGCGTATAGTGTCAAAATTATGTAAATATATTTAAATGATATACTCAATCTCTTTTTTTGAACATAACCTTAATATTATTTTGTAATAGCAACTACAACGTTTTATCTTTTATTTCTCTTATCCTCAGTTTTCTAACTAGTTAAATGAAAATTTATTATTGAAATATTAGTTATTCAATTCTCATTGTTAGCAAGAATATACAAAAGTTGTTAGGGCTACGTATGACTAGTATTTGGCATAGAAGCCTCTCTTTTCGAGGCACAAACATCATCATCAATTATAAATTAATCATGATAAAAAGTTGTGCTTAAACAAGAAAGGTCAAGAAACAAGAGACTCCGTTACATCCACATTTATATCAGGTAATTGCAACTTAGTCATATGTCATAGGAATCCATGAAAGAAAGAAAAAAAATAAACAAACAGATAAATATATGAAAGAATATCCTCAACAAGCCAAACCAAGTTCCAACATTAAAGTAGTCAGTGTAAAATAATTAGCTCAATATTTAATTAAAATATAATGAATTATTAATACAATTAACCAAGTATGTTATGTAGCTCAACATTCAAATTTAAAAATATAACGAAGCATGTTAATCAGCTCAATATTCAAGTTCCGGTAATATGGTAGTTGGTGAGCTTGTGGCAATTCAAGAGAGATGAATTTGAGTTTTTCAAATTTCAAGCTCAAGAAACAAAGGTTAAAATATAATGAATTAATACTATAGTTATCCAAAAATTCAAATATTAATTATGAAAAGTCAAGATATTGAAGTGTGAATTTAATAATGGTAAGAATTATCAATATATAATTTCATAGAAGCTAATCTATTCAAACCTCATATGAAATGCACTCATAAAGAGAGTTAAGAAAACTTCTATGGATTTTGGTCAATATGTTCTTCATTCAAGCAACTCATTTGAATTTTTTTTACCATATTCAAATGGTATGTAGTCGCTAATTTAATTGTGTCCAGTAACTACGATCCTCTTGTATGTAAGAAGTGATTGCATCATATCTCGAAGTGAAGAGGCTAACAAATTTGTGACATACCTTGCCCTTAGCCAAGCCTCCATCTCATATGATAAAAGGCTACTATGTCACAAAGTCGGGCTTTTATAAGGACAGTTTGAGGATGAAAAGAGTAATCATTATAGACTTGACATAATGCGGAGGCCATTTAGCAATAAGGAGGAGATACAACAGCTTAAGCAATGTTTCATTTGGACAAGGATGAAGTAATGAATCTCAAAGTAAATGTTACATAGAAAAAATGCAAAGAGGAGCACAAGCAGTACCTAGGGTTGGTACAACTACTGCCTGTTCTAGATTAGATACGGACTCGTTTTTCTTGGACAATCTAATTCTCCGGGCAATTAAACATACACTTAGGACAATACACTAGGATTATGTAAGATTAATATTAGAAGTCTTCTTCCGATTTCTTGCAACAACCATTGATGGAAAATAACAAAGCTAACCAAGATAGAACATGTAGCCTGAAAAATAACCACATAACAGACTCTGAAATTTGGTGCAAGTTTTCTCACTAGTTATTTCCCATTTAAGCAGGTCCATGCAGGGAACATACACCACCCTGCTTCCAAAATAGGGAAGGAAGGTGGCATTTGATACTCACAGGCTACAGCAAAGTCACTAGTTATTTCCCATTTAAGCAGGTCCATGCAAGAACATACACCATCCTGCTTCCAAAATAGGGAAGGAATGAGGCATTTGATACTTACAGGACCAAGGACCAAACCAACCTCATTCCTTCCCCTCACTTTCCCCTCATTCCATCACTCCGAACCCTCAAACACCCTCAAAGCCCACTTGCTCATCTTCATTACTTTTTCATTTCTAAATGCTTCCATCTGCTGTTTGATTTCAACACATGAATGACAATTAGAATAGGGAATATATCCAACATGTGCAACATGATATTTGTAACAATAAAGTTCATAACAATTTGGACAACATATATATATTTTTTTAAATAGCTTGGAAAATATATTTTCATAACCATTAAACAGACATTAAAAAAGAAAGTTATTTATCATGAACATTAGCATGTCTTCTTCCTAGCTGCTGCTAGGAGGAAATGGCAAATCTAGCCAGGACAGAGAAAGAATGAAAGCTTTTTATTGCACCATACTCGTTTAGCCTGAAGGCAACAGCATAACAGACTAAGAAATCTCGTACAAGCTAATTGTTTCACATTTGAGCAGGTCCAAACAAGAGTAGATACCATCCTTGGCCCGTCTGTAAGGGAGAAATGAAATATAACAGGAAGGAATGAGGAGTTTGATCCTTACAGCAAATTTCTAGAGTTTCTCATTGAGCTATTTATATGTAATACGTTCTGCTCCAATTATGCTCCAATTAATGAGTTATTGTAATGACCAAGAATGACTATGATAACAGGGAACACATGGCAGGCATTCAACAGGACACTTGGGATAATGAAGTTCAATACACAAACAAAAGAGATCCATATCAGACCAACTAAAATCAAATCATGTAATTCACATGATAATTGAATATAGATGATGAAAAAACAACATTAAGTTTATAGAATATCAATATTAGCATGTCTTCTTCCTAGTTTTACCACAAAAGTCAATGGAAATGACAAATATAGCCAGGATGGTAAAAAGGAGGAAGATTTCTATTGCACCATGCTCGTGTAGCCTGAAAGATAAAAACATATCAGACTATGAAATTTTGGTGCAGATTCAAAGCCCTCTAAAGAAAGGAAAGAAAAAAAATTGGAATACAGCTAGTTCGTTGCATGCTATGACACTAACGCAACCAGCAAAGTAATCAGAGAACTTTGAAGACCTGTATGATATGAGTTCTTCCACATCAAATTCAGATAAAAGATTCTCATCATTTTGCTTGTTCAGGTGACAAACAGACGAAAAAAATGATGCTACTTCTGGAGCAGACACTAGTAGACACCATACTTAGAAGCCTTCACTTAAAAAATGAATAAAAAAAACAAAAATAGCTCCAAGCAGCAAAGCAATCAGAGAATTTTGAAGATCAATGCGATTTAAGTTGTTCCGCATTGGATTCAGATAAAGAAAATTCGTTATTTTACTTTGCCGATCTAGATTTATGCCTTAACATTAGAACCAGAGGTGTCGTGAAGAAGAAAATACACGTCTGCTTAGAAATCTTGGCAGCATACTTCACAAGCGTAAAAAAAATAAAGACTATCAGCAACAAAAATGAATATCAAGATGAGAAAGAATTGGGGAGAATCATGCCCATCTCGGAAAACAATTACTAAAATACAGCAACGAGTAAAGCAGTCAGAGAACTTCAAAGACCAAAATAAAAACAAAAAATTTGACATCTGGATTAAGACGTAATTAATCTCATCATTCTGCTTTGCTTTTGGATTTAAAAATTAAACCATTCTCCAGAAAAGAAGGGGGGGAAAGAAGAAAACAGCACCATTACTAGGAAAATCAGAAAACGTTAACATTCCCATTTGTACTGGCAAGACCAAACTCTATGAAGCGTCATCTTATTAACTGCACAAAGTTTGAGAAATGCTAATGCCAAAAGCAGTCAATTTCGCACCTTTGACCTTTCATCGTTTATTCCTTGCAACTATACCTACAAAAAAGCAAGGGGCTACTTGGTGCACTTATGCAATGAGTTTATTGACCAAACTCATAGATCAACTGTAAAAGACAGCCGATTGGCTCCGATCTTATAAGGCACCAGTCAGGGCTGCTGGCCGCTGCTGGCCGGCAAAGGGAAAGAAAGGGCAGAGAACATCTGAAAGCGATGGGCTAGTAGGAGGGCTACTTGTATGGGGGGATCTTGGGATTAGGGTTTGTTGGAATTTGATAAGCGTACGAGCGGTGCCTTCGGGTCGGTTATTTGTTTGAATGGGCGCCTAGGATTTCTTTTCCCCAAGTTCGATTCTCCGTATTGGGGAAACTTAACTTATTTGCAAGGAAATATCTTTTAGTTTTATTTTTTTTTTTTGAAGAGATTTTCAACTGTGATAATTGGTTCGCATTAATTTTTTATTTATTACACATTAATTTACAAATATAAAATATTATATTAGATAATATCAGTATGCAAGATTCAAAGACAGATAATTATGAACAATAAAAAAAAGTAGTTCATAAATAGTATATGTTATAATAAATATATATCATTCAAGAGCCAAAAACTATTGAGCTATGGCATTTAAATTTTAGAACAAGGCTAATATATGTTACAACAAATATATATATCATTTCCATATATTTTACACTATTTTAATTTTTTCTTCAAATATTGATATTGATAATATAAATAAAAATGTGTTAATTATGATATTAGTGATTTTTACAAACTATGCAAATTCATAGAGAATATAAATAAAAATTAATTTTTATGTTAAAATTATGATTTTATATTTGAAGCATTAAGCTTATGTTAAAATCCTAAGCCTCCATAGGGATATATATAAATATATATGCGTATTTTATAAAAGTTTGTTTGAATTAATAGATTAAAAGTATATATTGTAACTATAAAAGTTTTTATTTTTTTTAGATTAATTTTATTTATAAAATAAAATTATGTAAATTTTTTTATTCTTTTAAAAAAATATAAAATTAAATATAACCAAACAATGAGGTTAATACCCACAAAACTATTAATTATAAGATTACAATTTTTTGCATCAAATTCTATGCACTACAATGAATAAAAGAAAGAAAAAAGAAAAATTATCTGATGATTACATTTTCCGTATCAAACAATATGTACTACAAATCATTTATCTTTTGGTATTTACAATGGAAGATTGGTAACAAAATAAAAGCACATTAACAAATAAAAAATGGAAACAAGAAAAAAAATTTAAAAAAAAAAAGAACAAAAATTTACATGGTAGGACAATGTATGCCTGAATCACAATGGGAAAAGCTTTTCCCCAGCCATCAGAAATTATCAAACAGGACACTTTTCTTGTTGGATAAACATATGACTGAAACTGAAAGTAATACAACAAACACAACCATAAAAACGCATGCATGGCTTAGTTTGCCAGCCTTTCCGCTACTCTCATGCTGGAGTTTTGAACTAGCCGTCTGGGTCATAGGCTCCACGCAATCAGCTTTATCTTTTACAAATCTATTCTGATTGTAAAACAGCAAAAAGAGATTATTTAGATTAATGATGGAAATTTCTTGCGATTATAAATGAGAAATTAAATGGCAAATGCAATTTCTTCTAGGTGTAAGTTCTTCGATCTCGAAATAAATTCAGGATGAAAGCAAGTGGACCATAATCTTTCAACTAAGTAGCAACCTTAATAAATTTGAACATTAATGTTTTCTTGAATTGATCATCCAATGATTCTCAATTTTGCAAATCTCCCAACAGCACTCCATAATGAATGAATTAAGATGCCAAAGGTAATCAATGTCTCAATAATTTTGCCTAATCTAAACAGATAACTAAGACAAGAAATACAGAGGATAGATAAATAAGAAAACTTAAATCTGCAATCCATAGCAGCTTTTGGGTCTAATAAAGAATCTCTATTCACCACAGATTTTTTTACTTCACCATAGCAATTCCAATATGTAGTATTTTGGCATGAATAACTACTAAGGGAAGAAGTACTTAATTGATTTCTATGCAGTAACAACAGAATCCATCGAACAATCTTCCAAAGGATTTCAAGATCAACCCAACAAGCTACAAACATCTCAAAGAGTACTGTAACTGAATTTGGACATACAAAGATACAAAGCCACAGCAATGTCATTTAAGACCCTGGCTAAAGCCTTATGTATGAGGTAAAATATACCAAAGGACTTGTTTAGCTGACAATAAATAGTAAAGCAGATTAGAGAGAGAACCTGCCTGCAAACATGTTGTCAAAGATTCTGCTTTCTCAGATTCCTTCGTACAAGTAGTTTGCCTCCATTCGTTCTGGGAATACTTGAGCCTTTGATCATGAATATCTCCACTACAAGGTGTAGTCATATAGGCTTTTGTTTCTAATTTTTGTAACTTCTCCAACAAAATTTTGTTCTCCTTCGACAAAAGATTTAGCTGCAGAAACAATCCTCATTAAAGTTTTGAGGCAGATTTAGTTGTTTTATTATTATAAGTCTTTTACAACCGATCATGTATTATTCTCAAATCAATCATTTATCTGAAAAGAAATGATAAATATAGAGGAGCGAAAAATATAACTCTCACTGTCTCTCGTATTTTGTTTTGCATGACATACCATCCGCAGCAATAGGTACGTCGATAATGAGAATTAGGGAGCCAGTGACCATCCTCATTAACGTGAGAATGAAGTTTGACATGACAATTATTCTTAATGACACAAAATTAATAAACTACAATAATATAGTAGAATTATATTTCATTCGTGCTTTTGCCAATTAGTCAACTCATTGTAACATCAAGGGGCAGAGCACAATAACTCAAAGCTACAAGCCAATTAGAAGATTCAGAAAAACAAAAAAGACATAAAAATGTGTACCTGCTTCTGCATGTGCTCCCTCTCCACTGCTAGCTGCATAACCATGTCCATCATAACCTCAGTCCTTGAATTAATTTCTTTTGCATTCCTATGTTTTACATTGTTCACTTGGTCCAAAGATGTCTCCAACTCTTCCATTCTAGACTTCAGGCACTTCAGTTCTTTATTCAACTCAAAGTTAGTTTTAGATAACAGTATACATTGTTCCTCTGCCCTCTCAGTCTTAGTTTCAGCTCTTGAAACTTTTGACTTTAGGTCTTCAATTAAAGTCTCCATATCCCATATTGCAGAGTACAGCATGTTTTGCTGTTCTTGATTTGTTTGAGATGAAGCTTTTGCATTTTGTAATTGGATCTCTTGCTCCCTCAACTGCTTCTCAAGTAGGCTGATCTTCTTTGTGTCGCTATCATTACCTTTGAGAAAATTTAGCTCCTCGGTAAGTTCTAAATTTGCCTCTGTTAATTCGGTAACCTTGGCTTCTGTACTTCCAGCCTTACCTTCTGCCTCATAAATGCTTTCTTTTAGTACCTCGATAATGTTTTCTGCTTCATCAAGCTGCTCCTGGCTTGTTTTATAGAAGGAATTTGCACTCTCCAGCTGGAATTCAGTATCTTTCAGTTGTTCCTCAAGTGATTTTATTTTTTCCTTTAAGATCAGAACTTCAGAAATTATGGTAGCATGTTGTGAATTGCTGCTCTCAAGTTCTTCATTTCTTCTTCCAAGCTTTTGTAGCATAACATCTTTGGCACTTAGCTCTTCAATGCAATCTTCAAGTTTAGATTTGAGTTGAACTTCTCGTTGCATTGAACCATATAAATTCAACTGAGCAATATGAAGCTGGCCAAGTAGTTCCTTTGAAATACCCATCAGCACCTCTGCAGCATTTTCTGCCTCTAAAAACCTTCCCCAAACAACTTCTGCTGCTTCTTCCATGCGAAAAGCCACCTGTTCAGTGTAATGCAACTTTAATTTCAATTGTTCTTCATTTTGCCTAAGCAGTGATAATTTCTCCTCAAGATATAGCTCTCTTGAGAAAGACTTCTCCAGTGTCCTTATAACATGTCTATGTTGTAAGGTTGTCTGCTTTTTTGATGTCGCACAACTGTCAAACAGCTGATCATTTCCTGAAAGCTCAACTACCTCGTCCTTTTTCCCTGTCAACAAGAACATCCAAGGCAAAAATGAAAAATCAGAAAGTAAAAAATATCCTAGTTATTATGCAAACTAATGGTCCATAGAAAAAATAATTTACAACTTACTTTTCTCCTCCTTGAAATATGAAAATGATCTTTGTAATTCAGCCAATTGCATCCTGATTTCCAAGAACTGCTCTTGAGAATGTCTTAATGACTCTTTAGAATCATGCAACTTTTCTTCCATTATAACAAATAGCTCTTTCGAGTGTCTGCATGAAGATATCTTATGACTGGCATAAAATATATGTGCTCTGAGTGCATCCAAGAATCTGCTAAACTCTTGTAACTCAGAATCTAAAATTCCAGATAAAAGATCAAATACTAGTGCCTTCTCAACTGATATTTCCAAGCTAAGGCTATCACCCATGGCCATTGCTTCTAGATCATTATTCCAAACCAATAGATGCATCAAAAGCAAATGCAAGTTTACCAACTTCTTAGAAGAATATGCTAGGTCGAAGTCTACTGCTGCTAAAAATTTCATAGCATCATCTGCAGGCTGCATTTCCATACCATTTTTTGGTACCTCTTCATGCAAATTAACTTTATCTAACTCTTCATGGTTGGTATATGGAACACCAACGGTTAAGTCATCCATTCCTGTGGTTTTACTCTTCAGTGAAGCAAAAAACCAGAGGGAAAGAAAAGAAAAAATGTCAGCATTGGTTCTATTCTTCCCTCATTTAAAACTTTCTTGGTTATGAATTCCACATACCAACCTCTGAAAGGATAAATGGAAAAGAAAAATTCAAAGCAAAACAAGCAAAGGTGAAACAGTTAGTTTTTGTTTCATTCAATTAGGAGACACTAAACACAAAATGCAACTTCAACCAATAGGTAACACACAACTAAGCCTCATACCAATCAAATTTGGAACTAAAAACTGATTTCCATCATAAAAAATGAAACATCAGTATCCAATGCTACGTAACTGGAGGGATTCAGTTTATGAGTTCTTAATCTACTATGCATTAGTTCAGATCTATTTGCAACATTGAATATCTCTAAAAAACCATAAAATTACTAAATTTACACAAAATTAAATTCATCGTGTGTAGTTTAGAGTCAACAATTAGTCTAGTCTCATATTGAGAACATTAGAAGCTTCACATACTTATTCTCTATTCCCTTAAGCAATGGAAATTAGGAACTACATCCTGTCCTCTCACAAAATTACCCCAAAACTTTTCAATTTTAGCTTTAAGTGCACTGTAATGTGCTCAAGAATTACCGCTTCTCGGTGAGATAAATATTTCATTTCTGACCGGAATCTAAATAATAGAATCACTCAGCTTCTACTAACCAATATCCAACTTTAGAAAATTCACTAAATGCAATGCAAGAAATTCACATCCCTAACTATATGCAGCTTGAAATTGAGGGGAAAGCAAGAACAGTTGTTTTCACTATCCCCTATTATCTTCTAGAAAATTGGTTAACAGTACATATTTCATATGAATTACAACCCATCTATCAACATGATGGAATTTTATGGACAGATTTTTGACGGAACCCAGCACAGTAACCACAAATTATCAATCGAATGTTCTGAAATAATAAGGTACTGTAATAACAATTTTGAATTGTGATAATCAAAAAGAGGGCCACACAAAAAATCAACAGAAAAGCAAAAGAATTAGCAGCCTCTCGTGCTCTCAACAAGCAACCAACTTCAAATCACTATCCCCAAAGAATCAAACTAAACTTTCCATCGCAGTAAACAAGAATGAACAATGAGCAAAAGTGATGAACGAATCAATATCAGAACCAGCTAAAGTGAGAATCCCAGTACAAAGCACGATATTACAGCACGAGAAAAAAATTAAAGAGAGTACCTGAGGAATAAAGCAGAGAAAATTAGATAATTTAACGACTGTTTTTGGTTTCCCCAAGACCGTTGGTTTCGCTGTGAAAGTTCCCTCTCTGTTTCTGATGCTAGGAGTGAGGCTAAGATGCGCCAGGTGGGAACCGGTCGGTCAACGCATGGGTTATGGGTTAGTGTTGGTGAGGGACTTGGGTTGGGCGCACGTTAGCATAGCAGCTTGCAGGTGTTCAGGCTTGTTGAATAATTGAGGGGTTGAAAAGAAACGGAGAAGCAGAAGGTTTGATTGACAATGAACCTGTCCACCAGTACATTCTGTTTTAAAAGGGGAAAAAAGTAATAGACAAAATGGAGTAAATGCAATTAATATTGGTTCCTAATTATTTAATTAAGTTAAGATAAATAATTTTTTAGATAATCACAAGGAGTAAAGTACTAATAATAAACATAAAAATTGAAAAATGCATTTGTTTGCCAAGAATATAAAAGGGTATTTAGAACATCCCTCATAAAGTGGCTACTTTTCATAATTGCAATACCATCAATTGAAAATTCACGTGTCCTCATGAATTTTACTGTATGCAATGTCTTACTTCTGAAAAAAAAAATGTTTTAAATCTGGTTGGACGCAATGGCTACAAGTTGCAGCAGTGAAAGCATAATATCAAACTTTATGCTCTTGGGATTCTTTTTTTTTTTTTTTTTAAATTTTAATTATAAAGTAAACATTGCTTTTTAATCAAATTATCATACATGATGAATTTTATTATTTTTGTTTTCTAAATTATATATATATTTATATGTTATTTATTCATTTTTAAAATAATAATTTCAAAAATAAACAACAATATTAGTTTCTTAAATAAATTAACAAAATATTATTCACATTTAAACATTATAGGAAAATATGATAAAATGATACAAAAAATTTTAATAATAATTAATATGCAATGTCTATTACACACTCATTTACCTTAATTACTAATTTGGTCATAATTTATTTTTCCTTTTCTTCTTTTCCAAACTTCATTTAGTTCCCGTATTCTTCAAGTTGAGAAAGGCTCATTCATATTTTTATTAACACCATATCTTTGCAATTAATTAGTATACATAGCTACTTCACACCGTATTTTTATGAACTAAATGGTCATCACAAGAATTTATTGCATATTCAAATTCTTCATCTTGCATGTGATATTTAAACGCTTATTGAGATAAATAAATTTATAAATAAAATCAAAACTCATAACTTAAACATAATTCAACTTGTACTACTTGTGAGTGGGTTCGAATTAATTCAAACGCTAAGTTAAAATCACATGAATTGGAAAATAAGTTTTTAGAAAGATCAAATGAAGAACTTCATTTATAAAGAATTCTTCTCATGCTTCCTCAATAAAGAATTTTGAATTAGAGTGAGTATGTAAAAAATAATCAAAATTGTTGATGCAATTCAAAAAGATAATTTGCACTACCACGAAAAGCAGAACTACAATAAACAAACAAATCATGAGTTATATATAGTTTATTAACATTTCTAAAGTAAATGCTACAACTATCCAACCATTTTAAATTCTGTCTTCACCTCAACTCTAGCTAGGGAATCAACAACGCAATTTCTTTTCCTATAATATTTGCCATATGTTTGCAAAACTGTGGAGCTGTACTTTTGATAACCCAAAATATACTAATAATTGAGTCACTCTCGACCACAAACTCAATAGTTCTTACTAGTTATTAGTACTAAGAATTTATGATAATTTTGTATTAATTGACTTCATTTTTTTCATGTTTTTAGAGAAAAAAATATTTAAATTCACATTGATAATTCTTAAAAATCTCATAAATTATTGTAGTTCATATTTATCTTATACTGATTTTTCTAAAGAATTTAATACTTATTAACGTATAAACAGTTTACATCATATACTTTCTACAGAAGTAAATTTTTTTTTAGAAAATCTAATTTTTTAAAAATATTTAAGGAAAAAACTTCAGAAATAAATATGAAAATAATATCAATTTATTCTTTGAAATATACTCTTAAAATTTTTTTAAAAAATATGGGCAGAACAAATAACTTATTCATTGAATATAATTTTCTCAATATCAAGCTTATAGTTTCTTTCTTATGGAACATAAAGGAATCGATAAGAATGTCTCCGATTTATATTGCATTTCTTTATGTTTAATAATTTAACTAAAATGAAGATAATACAAATAGTATTTGAAATGACTAATAAATTCTTATTATAAATATATTAAAATTTAAAAATTAATTTTAATACGATTGGCGAACATAGAATAATCAAATTAATTTTTATAATGATTTTGTATAAATTAAGGAAGATATCCAATAAATATTATAAAACTATTTCCAAATAATCATATATTCTTTATTTAAATTCAAAGATTTTATTTAAAAAAATTACGTTCTAAACAGTCATAGATTATTAATTGAAGTTAAAGATTTCGTAATTTATAGTGTAAAATAAAGGCTGAGCAATCAATACTCATTAACAAGAAAAAGAATTACTTCTTTCATTCTTCTTCATCTTCAAGTACAAACACAAATTTAGATATTTGTGTTAATATTTTCAAATATCTGATCTCGAGTCATGAGGTTCAAAAGAGGAAATGTTGGAGAAGACCTATGATGAAAAAGATCTTGTAGGACCCAATACCATGTTGCACTTGGTATAGCTTTACTCATTATTATATGATGGTACGTAAGATACTTTTTCAATTTATTTTTGCAGCATTTTAAAATTCTATTTGTGTTTAATGTAAAAATATATAAAAATAGTGATGCATATTATTTTTCATAATATTTAGAGGAGCTTTATTTTTAAAATAGTAAAGTTAAATTTAATGAAGTAAATTTCAATAACAAAAACTCTTTATTTAGTAGAAAATGGAAAACTTCCACTAAAATATATATATATATATATATATATATTATATCTTAAGTTCAATAAAGTAAAATTTTTAAAACTCACTAGATAATAGAGATTATCTAAGAAAATTAATTTTTTTTATTAACTTGTCTTTTTTTGGTCTAATATTAATATATATGACGTCATAGAAAAATGACAATAATACTAAATTTACAAGATTATTTCGTAAAAATCTTTTTCCAAGCTAATTAGACAATTTATGTTAGTTAGAAAAGATACGTAATTTACTTAATATATACTGCCCATTTATAATATTACATCAGTTTCTTAGTAAATTTATGTACAAATGGTTTGACAATGAATAGAAAAGTTATGGTTGTATTTTAAATTTTATCCTCAATTTTATACACATATATACATATGTGTATATATGTTTGCACATAGTGATGGTTGTATTGATATTGTATAAACTTAATATTGTTTCTTCATTATGTGTGATTAATTATAATAAGAATTACATTGATTTGGTTTTCGTTGAGCTGATATAGATATCTTTTTTCTTTGCGTATTGAACTTGATTATCACAAGTGTTTTGTTAATTGCCTGCCATGTGTTCCCTGTTATCAAGTCATTCATTAGTTAAAATCAAATATTAGATAGAAGTATGTAGAAATAACTAAGCAACGGGGATGAAAAAGATTTCTTTGAGTCTTATAAGGATAGATCAAGTGAGGGGAGTGTTGTTTAGTCTTTACAAGAAATCATCACTTAGAGCATAACGTATTATATAGCAATAGCTAGGAAGAAGACATGAAAATATTCATGATAAATAACTTTATTTATCTTTTTTAATGTATGTTTAATTGTCATGAAAATTACATCCTTTAAGTTATTTTTTTTAAAAAAATTATGTTGTCCAATATTTGGTTGGAGTTTTTCTATTACCAAAACAAGCCTAAGTTTTTTTTTTTCTTTTTTGTGACATTTTTAGGCTAAATTGGGCTAATATGCATCATATAGTATACGTCGACTTATAACATATGGAAATTATAAAATAGATTGATCGTGATTTGAAATGAACACATTCTGAAATGAAGTTCCTCTTACGAGACACATCCTTCAGTAGGAAAAATAAGGTATATTAATCCTACCATTATTTTGTTCAATTTAATTAATGTTGTTTAAGGAATGCATGAGGTTCTGACACCAATATACTACGTGTTTTTTTTATTAATATTGATGAGAATAATATTATAAGATTTGTGATTATAATCAATTTTTATTGTGTTCATATATTTTTTATTTGGTGTGCTGTTAATTAGCACCATATTGGGTACAGTAAGCTTTTTTCCAGGTGATCAATTTTACCTCAATTTTTATATCTTATATATTTATAAATTTTCCTTATAAAATGAATTTTATTGTTTAGAGTTCAAGATTCAGAGCTCATAGAATGGTTGGGAATACAGAAATGATGGATGCTGAGGTATCACTTATTTATTTCTTATATTGTGCTTGCAAATGTTAAAGCTAATAATTTTTCTTGCTTTGTTAGGCTGTTGAGTTATTCGGTGGATTATTTTTATTAACAATTGGATAATAGTTTAAAGAGCATCATTTCCACTCTTTCATGAATGTCAGAGTTATTGAAGGTGAATGATGAGGAATTATGGTGGCATCTTAAATTCACATCTAAGGTAAATTAACTAAAATAGAACTTAAATTCTTTATGTATTCTTATGGATTGTTCATGTTGCCCACTAACAACGAAGGAATGAAAGAAACTTACAATGTTGCTGACTATATTTTATAGTAACAAAAGAACTTATAGTAGGTTCGTAACAAGTAGGTGAAGGTAGAGTATTATGCATTTAGATGGATCATATTTTTTAGAATTTGAGATTCTTTTCTAAGTTATCTTTTTGGCATTCTCATATCTTCTCGCTATATTAGCCAATTGAATATCATATTTGTTTATTTGTTTCTTTTCCTTTCATACCTTATCAAAATACCTCATTTTTTTTTTCTTAATTTTACAGAGGCAATATATATAGCACCTAACTAATTACATCATTTTAGGTGCAATGTTGTTGTACATGAGAACAAAGCTTTTTAGTGGAGATTTTGCAGCTAACTTGAGGCTTTTACAGAACTACCCTAATATCAACATAAAACACCTTTTCCAAGTTGTCAATGATCTTAGCCCTGATATATCTTCTTATAGTCCGCCCCTGTAAAATATTTCACTTATTACGTAAGCTTTATTGGTCAATATACATTTCAACATGATTTGTACTGATTAAGAATTTTAACTAGTACTAAGTCTCAGGGGATTATATTAATCAATTAAGCATGTTAACTAGTTAACTTGCATTCTAAATTAATATAATTGTTGATTTAACTCTTTGGTTGAC